GAACACTGTGGAAACCCGTGGTGAGAAGGGTCTTTCTTCTGCTCTCTGACCCCACCTCTCTCCCTGCTCTCTCCTTCTCTCCTCCTTTTCCTCTGCCCCTGTGCTGAGTTGGCTGTTCTGGGAGGGACTGGGCACACTGGCAGAGACGTGAACTGATTGGACCTTTTTGAAATTAGGCTGAGGGCCATATGCCTCCCAGAGGCTGCAGGTTACCTATTCCTGCTCTATTTTTAATCGCATTTTTATTTTTTAAAGATAATTCCTGACTGCCCAGAATATCTCCAGTCAGTAGAACAGAGCATCCCTGCTGGATCTCAAGGCTGTAAAAGTAAGGGATGCTTGTATTGTATAGATGATTTTCACCCAAGAGATCTGTGAGCAGGATATTTTCTTCATGCTGACTCTTGTTCACAGTTCTTGGTCACCAAATGAATGTGAAATTTGCTTTCCAACAGAAGTACTCCCTTGTGCAGAAAGATGTTTCATCCTTTCATGGCCTATTAGTAGCCCTTCTCTTTGAAATCTTATACCTCAGCATAAGCACCAGCAAGCAAAGCCTGTCTTGTATGTGTGGGGCCAGTGTGTCCAGAAAAAACAAAGCTATTGATGTTTAATGGTGACCTCTTCTAAAGTATAGTTCCAAAAAATGTAATTCAATCTCTTGTTGTCTGATTCTTTGTGTGTACATATCCCTGGTAAGGCACTGAGTGCATTTGGGAATGATTAAAATGTATCTGCCCGAGCTCTGGGTAAGGTCAACTGTAATCCCAGTGCAAAAGAGAAGGAAAATAACTTCCTACCAGAGTAAATTACTTGCCACCAGCATTGTGCCAAGGGGTTCTGTCTGGAATGATCAGTACAGCTGACTTGCACATTTGTCTACAACGTGGGAAGTTGTCTGAGTGGAATAATTTAGTAATTTAAAATTGAATAGTTTAAACTGGCCTGAAAAATCTAGTGGTAATTAATGGAATCTATGTTGAATTCAGTATGTTGTATTCTGCAATATAAGAGAGAGCTAATGTGGCCATGGAGCACCTGGGTAACTTTGGGCCAGTCACTGACTCTCAGCCTAACCTACCTCACAGGGTTGTTGTGAGGATAAAATGGAAAGGGGAAGAACTATGTGTGCTGCATTGTGTTCTTCACAAGAAGAATACAGCTTCAAATTGTGACTGAAAAAGTACGCACTGATTAGGGAATTCTGCTACTTAATACTTGAACATGGTACTACTGAATTTAGACACAGGGATACCTTTGAATCAATTAAAATGCATGCATTTCAAAACCCAAATACCGTATTTTTCTGTATATAAGATGGTACTTTTTCTTTAAAACATTTAGCTAAAAGTGGAGGTGCGTCTTATACATGGGGGGGGGCAAGAGGAGAACTGCAGACGTGCTTGGGGGGGAGACATGTGCGATCGTGCATGTGGGGGGGTGGCAAGGCGAACTTGGGGGGGCGGCGAAGCGGTGTGCAGGGGGGTGAGGAAGGTGGGGAGCGGTGGAGACGGGACGGAGGAGCGGCGAGGCGCAATTGGGGAAGGCAGCAGGGTGGCACACGCGAGTTGGGGGGCAGCATACATGCGCAGCAGCAGCTTGCTTGCTGGAGATCGATAGGAAAAGTGGGGGGCATCCTGTACATGGGGGCATCTTATAGATGGAAAAATACGGTAACCATGAGGTGTCCATCTGTCGCCTCTGCTCAGCATGCCTGCTTCTTGTGTAGGTTTCACAGACTTGGTTCTATGGCCCTGACAAAGTGACACACATCATAGTTCATAGATGTTATCAGGCTGACATTGGATGGAGCACATTTCTGGCATGCTCATGTTACATGTGGCTCTTGGGAAGCACATGCATAAAAGTATTGCTTTGTTGTTAGTCGCAAAGTCGTGTCTGACCCATCACGGCCCCATGGACAACATTTCTCCAGGCCTTCCTGTCCTGCACCATCCCCAGAGTCCACTCAAGCTCACACCAACTGCTTCAGTGACTCCATCCAGCCACCTCATCCTCTGCCATCCCCTTCTTCTTTTGCCATCAATTGTTCCCAGCATTAGGCTCTTCTCTAGTGAGTCCTTTGTGAGCCTCTCTGAGGCTTTGTTGCGATGGGGGCGGCATAAAAATGTTATAAATAAATAAATAAATAAATAAATAGGTGGTAAAAGTATTTGAGTTTCATCTTCAGTATCTGGCCTTCTAAAGAGCAGTCAGGTTTGATCTCCTCTAGGACTGACTGGTTTGATCGTCTTGCAGTCCAAGGGACTCGCAGGAGTCTTCTCTAGCACCACAATTCAAAGGCCTCAGTTCTCTGATGCTCTGATGCTCTGATGCTTCCTTAAGGTCCAACTTTCACAACCATACATTGCAACTGGAAAAACCATAGCGTTGACTATGTGCACTTTTGTCGCCATGGTGCTTTTTAGTATGCTGTCTAGATTTGCCATAGCTTTCCTCCCCAGGAAGCCTGTGCCCTGCTTCATTTTGTACACCAAGGCCAAACTTGCCTGTTATTCCAGTTATCTTATGACTTCCTCCTTTAGCATTCCAATCCCCCATGATGACAAGGACATCATTTTTTGGTGTTAATTCTAGAAGGTGTTGTAGGCCTTCACCTTTTAATAGGTGACTGCCTGCTGTTATGCAAGTTAGTGCTGACTCAGATACTTGCTTTGTTACCCATGGGGAGTGAGAAGAGCCCCAGGTGACCAGACTGTGAAGCTTTTGTACATTGGAAATATGTTCATGATTCCTTTTTTTTTTTTTCAGTCTAGAATAGGTAGACTAGCTAGGCAAAAAATAAAATGATGGGCACTTTGCCAGTGAATTAAGTTGGTTTGTATCAGGTGTAAAAGATTTCAGGTTTCACCAAAGCACACTAGGACAAAGAAGTAATAGGTACTTAATTTGAAAACAACTTGCTATTTGGATCTGCCTCTAGCACTAATTGGAACTGGAGGCCCCTTTTAATTAGAGAACAGAATTAAAGAAAATGTGATAGTCTTTTTATTAGTGAAACCCAGATTATGTGCTAGGGTAAGTGTCTATAGAAGCCACGTTGGGTGATATAACAATTCCCAGGAGCCTGGTGCAGCCAACATATCTCACTTCAGTTCTGAAGATACTGAGGATGTAACAAAACCACTTGTGTCAAGATAGTATATAGTTTCTTGGATACAGTGATAAAATATAGATCCAGCATATAAACAAACTAAGGACAGCTTGCACTCCCTTTATCGGTGGCTATATTGGTTCCTTGAATAGGCCAAGGAACTTACATGGGGCTCAAAATTTTCCTGTGTGAACAATGCATCAGTGGCTCTCAAGCTAAAAAAAGAAAGTGCCTGTTGCCGTGGATCTTAGAAAATTCCTCTCTCCTGCTGTTCCAGAATCTTTCAGTATATACTGCCTCTAAACTCCCTTTCCAGCAAGATAGGGTAGGGAAAAAGTTGCTTCACTTAAAGCAAATTGTTTTGGTTTGCACAGCAAAAGCAGCTCTTATTTAAGGAATATGCTTGAGGAAAGCAGCTTCAAGAGAATTATCTCTAGTGCTCCTCCTCACAACCAGAAGACCATAATGCCTTACCATGGCTCCAAACGACTGTCCAGGCTTTGGGCTCTGGGAAAATTCACTAAGCTATCTGCTGAACCTTACTAACCTCCAATCTCTTTTTCTGATAAAGTCCACCAATACAGATGGTATTATCTGTTGGCAGGAAAGAATGTTGATTACACCTTGGATGACACCCCTATTTGTTAGCAGAAGGTCATGTTCTAGGTTGCTCCTCCTCCTCGAAGTTCCAAGGTAGCCAAAAAGTCAAGTGTACATTGTACTTTATTTTAAACTATTTGTTGAATATTTTATCCTACCGTTCTATAAAGACAACCTTACAAACAGGAATCAATCATTTAATAATAATTAAATGGTCTAAAAATAGATAGACCACAAATGTAAAAGGCATCAGATATAAAAATCTTTATTCAAAGTAGTTTCTAGAGAGTGATCCATGTTACTTTGTTGCCTCAAAAAGTATATTTTGGTATTTTTAAGACTAAAAAATATTACTACATAAGTCTTTATGGCATGGGTCCTCAAACTATGGCCCGCAGGATGGATCTGGCCTGCCATGCCCATTTATCCAGCCCGTGCCAACGCCCGCTGCCTGTGCGTGTTTGCCATGCAGGCGGGGAGGCAGTGGCTTGCTCGCTCGGAGATGGTTTTGGATTCATTGGGAGATCTCTGAGCGAGCGAGCCCGCCTCACCGGCCCGTGGCCACCTTTCAACTGACCCCCTATTGAAAAAGTTTGAGGACCCTTGCTTTTATGGACTAGGTCCAGTTCACCAGTTGCATCAAATGAAATGAACTCTACTCAGTAGAGTGAAGGCTTATTCTATAATAAGCTTGTTAGCCTTCAAGGTGCCATGAGACGCTTATTTTGCTGCAATAGAGTAATGTGCCTAACGCCCAAGAAATTGTTTTTAATAAGAGTTTGAAGGTTTTATAAGAGTTTGAAGAGTTTGCATTATTATGAAGATGTCTAGCCCTAGGATATGAAGAAGTTGAGTCAGGATATACATAGATAAAAAGGAAGAAAGGTTTCTTCCCCCTGGGAAAACCTTTTTGTCTGTGGAGGTCACAATGATTTACCACCTGCTTATCAGGATGGTTCAGAGAACTTCTGTAGTTAAGGTCAGATGGCCCTGCCAAATTGCTCCTGGTAACTTGTAACTGGAGGAAGCATGGGACAAGCAGGATAGATGATGGCCTGAAGGTGATTGGACAAAAGAATCTTCCCTGTTGCCAAGGTGAGGAGATAAGGGTGTGGGTCAGAATCTTAGTGAAGCCTTTCCCTTTCTCTACAGTTCTTAATAAGAGCAATTTTCCAGGAAAGCTAGCAACCCCCCCTCCACCTCAATAAAACCCAAATAGCAGCAGGAGTGAAACATTTTATCAGGATCAACTGAACAATTTTTTACTCTTTTCTCCATCACCCAGGTTTTGATTGACTGGGTAAATGATGTCCTGGTTGAAGAAAGAATAATTGTCAAACAGCTTGAGGAGGACGTCTATGATGGGCAGGTGCTGCAGAAGCTTTTGGGTGAGTTATTGCTGTGAACAGAATGGGAAGTGGACCGAGGAGGCCTGGCTTCAGATTCCCTGGTTGTTGCTTACTGGATGACCTTTGGGGTGGCAACATCTTTCACCCCAAATGTTCTTACTACAGGAGTTGGCAGGGTGGTGCCTCTTGGCACCAGTGGCCCCATCTACCTTTCTTAGTGCCCACTAAACATCCGAATCCTCCCAATTTAAAATTTCAAACTTATTTAAATATTTTCTTAGAGGCAGCTGAGGTTGCTTCAAAGTGAAGTGGGAGCTTCTAGCTGCTGCCATCTTAATGCCCCATTAATGGCCCTGTGATGACTAACAAGCAAAACTCTTGCTTTCAGTTCCTTTTATCTTGCCTAATTAATCTTGCTTTTCTTTGTTGGTATTTCCAATCCAGAGAAACTAGCTGGCCACAAACTGAATGTGGCCGAAGTGACGCAGTCAGAAATTGGCCAGAAGCAAAAACTTCAGACTGTTCTGGAAGCTGTCCATGATTTACTCCGACCGCATGGCTGGACTGTCAAGTGGAGCGTTGACTGTAAGAAGCTTGACTGGAATAGGCTTGCTTTGGAGGTGTCGTGGCTCAGTGGCAGAGCACTTGCTTTGCATGCACAAGCTGACAGGTTTAATCCCTGCTGGCTCCAACTGAAAGGCTCTCCAGAAGCAAGACTGGGGACAGTATTTGCTTCTGGAAAGCTGCTGCCAAAGCAGAATATACTAGGCTGGATGGACCACAGCCCACATTATAATGCAACTTCATAGGTTCGTATGACTTGAAGGAAAGATGAGGACCCTCACAGGCTCTGTGCTGTTTTGTTTCATTCAGTGTCATTTGGACAAGGGTATAAAACTAATTTTCTGGAATCTGTGCATTATGTACTGGCTTTCAAATTCTTTTTCAGATACCACACTGGTGTCTAAGATGTCACATGGATGTTTGACCTGATAATTACCCATACTTTCCAGTATATCTTTACCATCTATAAGGGATGGAAACTTGCTTTTAACAAACCAAAACAAATGAAAGGAAGCTTGCTTCAGGATCCAATAGCATATTCTGTGCTTTCTTGCACTTTCTGGAAATTACCAAATGCATACAGCTCCTGTAGGATAACCAAGTTGTGCATGGGTCAGTGACTTTTCACCAGTGGCTACTGCTAGCCACCTCCAATGTTTTCAGTACTAATTTGTTACATCCATACATTGGTTCTGTCTTCCTTTCCTCCTCTCCATTCTTTGTCAGAGTTTGAGGAGACTCTGGATTTCATTTCACCATCATGAGAACATGATTGCAGAGGGCTGCCTTATGCACTTGCCTCTTGCAAGTGTTGCATATGGAAATGCTGGACAAGAAGCAAATGCTTCGAATTCTGTCACTGCACACCTGACTGGGTCTGCTTTCGGACTTCATGGGGTCAGAGACTTTGGCTCCCCTGATCTGCAGTTGCAAATCTGAATATCATTCTCCCCAGGTGGGGGAAGATGATTGACTGCTTAATCGGAAAGCGATACAGCATGGCTACTAGCCATGGACCTTCATGTTCAGTAGAAAGGGCTGTAGGTACCTTGGGGGCCTCTCAGAAATTCCTGGCAAGTTGTTTCTGGAATGGAAATGTTGAATTCCATGGGCGATATATGAGTTCTTTACATGAAATATAAGATTTAGTGCATCTCTGTATCAGACATCTTCAGGCCTCTACAGGTGATGTGTGCCAAGCCACACAGAGCTCACGAACCGGCAAAAGCAGGAGACTCCTCAGTGGGCTGCCATATGGGGCTGGTATGCAGTGCCTGGATTGGTGCTTCACAGGTTGGGCAGACTAAGATGCACATTCACTTAGAAGCAAATTCCGCTGCTTTCCAATGAGACTTCTAAGATGTGTTGCAGCCCTAGTTTGTTTTGACCAGGTTTTGTCATGCTTTGTCCCACAGCCATCCCATGCCTCACAGTGGATACTTAGCACATCCATAGTCAACAGCAGTTGGGGAGTGCATTGGAAGTGCTGTGTGGCCGGGGGCTGCCCCAGTAGTGGGAGGAAGGGCCAGCCATGGATGGGAGGTGCCTGGCAGATGGGGCAGTGGCCAAGCTCAGGAGCAGCAAGCTAGCTGAGTGTGGAAGAAGAGGGAGAGGGCTCAGAGAGAGAGAGAGCATGTGCGCGCAAAAGAAGCAGTGTTGGCAGGATTCCCTCACATGCCCATCTCCTCCAACTTCCCCCTGCTGTCAGCCTGGGGGCCAAGGTGTGGGGGTTAACACCCTGATCATGAAGGCTTGATGCTAAACCCTACCATGAGAGAACACAGGTTATAGCCAGTGTTTCAAGTTTAGGCAAGAGCAGTTAGCAGGGTGAGGGTGCGGGAGGAAGAAAGCTGTCTCCAGCTAATTTGTATTGGTTGGGAAGTTGCTGCTCCACAATAATAAGATGGAGAAACTGTTGAAAACAAACCTGGGTGGGTGAATTATTCAGGGCTTCAGGAATCAGAGGGCCAGGCCCAAATAACTGATCCAAAATGTCCCAGAAAATATGAGTTCTTAATTATTTTTAAAATTTTCCTTCCAGCAATTCATGGCAAAAACCTGGTGTCTATTCTCCACTTGCTTGTAGCGTTGGCCATGCACTTCCGGGCTCCCATCCGACTTCCTGAACATGTTTCTGTGCAAGTGGTGGTTGTAAGGGTGAGTGCACATAGAAAACCTTAGTTAGTTAGTTACTTTATTTTATTTAGATACTATCCTGTATCCTGAAGACTATGGATTCACTCTAAGGTTAACACACATATTCCCTCCCACTAGCTTAAGCACTTAATACGTCTGAGCCGAAAAGCCTAACAAAAGTTCACTTGAGCAATCCAGGCTGGAGAAATGAGCCATATTTGACATCACTGCCAATACTTACTTGTGCCTGATCTATATATGAGCTTTGCCCAACCTGGTGTCCCCCAGATATTTTGAACATTTTGCCTCATCCGTAGCCACTGGCCATAATGGGAGTTGTAGTCCAACACTCCAAATGTGAGGAGGCTGCTGTATACATGTCTCAGAACAGACTAAGCTCTCTGAAATCTGTGGATAAGAAGATGACAAAAAAGAAGAATCTTTTCTGTTGTAGCTAAAATATTCTGTATAAGCCCTTTGTTGGCTGTCCCCCGTGGCTTGATGATACTTCTCAGCGGGGAAAAGAAGACCATTACAGTAACAGCACTGCTGGATAGATGGATGTGATAAACTTGCAGAGTCCCCACAGGTGCAATCCAATTTCTAGCATGTGTAAGCCCACACAGAATGTGAGAAATTAATACATCTCTCTGCCTTTGGAAGTTTGTTTCTAATCCAAAGCTGTGGACACTTAGGAGTGGGCTGCAATTACTTCGCTGAAGGCAGAGGAGTGTATCTGGATGTTTTGGTTGTGTACTGAAAGGAGGTCTCCCTTCTTTATTTTCTGTGTTTACTGGACGAGCAAATGGATCTTTAGCAGGAAATGTAATTCACAGAACAGAAGAGCATAAGGCGTCTGTCAATCACCTCGCTGCTTCGAAATGTATAGAAGAAAACTGTCACTAGGTGGTGCAGAGCTTACTCTGGGAAGAACTTTTCATCTCTGCAGACTGCCTTCATTGCTTAAGAGGAATAAAATAATGCATGTTTAGACTGAGTTTAATTCATCTGTGTGTATACTTAACGTTCTGTGGGACAGGTGCCTAAGGGACAATACACATCCCAATAGAAAAGGAAAATTCTCAAGGGACTGATTCAGGTCAGAGTGCAACTTTTTTTATCATCCTCTGCTCCCCACCCCCAACCCCCCGGATCTTCAACTAATAATTAAGGCTATTACCCAATTAAGGAATTTCTAGATCTGCCCAAATCAGTTAGTATGTATTTATTTTATTGGTTTGCAACTTTAACTAATGGTTTTGAAGAAAAAGTTGCTTTATTTTTAGGTGATGCATGCTTTGGTGGATTAGGCCCTATTTTTGAGGAGGAGTTCCCTTTCTGCTCATGAGAGGGAGATTCTTCTAAGATGGTGGCTGCTATCTTCTGTAGCGTATTTGAGCTAAAAGCAAATAAAATCCCCAAAAGTGAATCGGTTGATTAATTGACCAGCGGCACCATTTCGGTTAGCCAGAGTTATAAATCATTTACCACTTAAAATGTACACCAAGTCATTCACGTGTTTAAAGCAGTTGACATCACAGAACCAGCTTGCAGCAATAGCTCCTTGCCTGAAGGAGAAATCGACTCCTCCCTACTGCTGGTCAGCTGCCTCATTTTTACATCTTTGGATATTTATCAGAGGAGGACGAACAGGGAGGGTCTGGAGGTTTAGCCTGACCAGAAGCGACAAGAGAACTTCCTCTCTCAGCAGAGGGACACTCACATCACTCTGATGTCACAGAGGCTTTCTTCTGCTTGGAAGAACGGGAAGGCAAGAGGTTAGCCACTGTGTTAAACCTCTCCAGCCTTCTTTGCCTCACAGGAATGGTTTGTGCGAGGAACCTGCTGTATTCTGTTCAAGGAGGACCATTCAGTATGTCCTGTGAGTGCTTAATCTGGCATTCGGATCCAAGTAACCTTTACAATTACAATCTCATACAGTGTAAAGGTAAAGGTTTCCCCTTGACGTTACGTCCAGTCATGCCTGACTCTAGGGGGTGGCGCTCATCTCTGTTTCCTAGCCGAGGGAGCCTGTGTTTGTCCGCAGACAGTCTCCATGGTCATGTGGCCAGCATGACTAAACACCGAAGTGCACGGAATGCTGTTACCTGCCCACCAAAGTGGTACCTTTTTATCTACTTGCATTTGTATGCTTTCGAACTGCAAGGTTGGCAGGAGCTGGGACAGAGCAATGGGAACTCACCCCGTTGTGCAGATTTGAACTGGGGACCTTTCGATCAACCAGCCCAGCAGCACAGCGGTTTAAACCACTGCGCCACCTGCAGTCCCTCTCATACAGTAGACCCATTTTATTATTTTCATATTACCAAAGAGAGAGCCTGTTCTTTCAGCGGAGACCAATAGTAGTACTACTCTGGGGTTATTCCACATCAGGCCATTAGAGGCTGGGGAATTACATGTTTGAATCTTGCCCTCTTGGTGGCAGAGGAAGGGGCAAGACTCCCTGCATGCAGAAAACAAATAGATACCAAAGAAGGGGGGCAGGCTAGTAATATTCTTTGATTTACTCATTTTATGCAAGCGGGGGGGTGGGGTGGGCGGGGTTTGCAGTATGTACAGAGGCAGGTGCCTGTAGCCTGAAGTAGTTTTGGTGCAAGAGAAGCCTAGTCATCTGATTCTGAATAATCTGGTTCCAAAATTTGTGGCAAAAAATAAGATCAGAACCGAAGACTTCCCTGTGCAATATGGAAGTCTGTAGCTTGTGCATCTCAGATATCTTAATGTCTGGTGTTTTCCATATGCTGCTGATTATCATGGAGTTGCTGCAGCTGAAGGACGTCCTGGTTTGTAAATTATGTTGTTAATGAGAAGGACAATTTATGTATGAACTGTGCACTTCAAGGTGACCATTGTGTCTGACTTGGTCAGTATTGGTCAGTATTGGTATGAGACATTTTGATTGCCTCGAAAGGAATATGACATCTCCCAACCTCTCAGAACTTTCTTCCAGTTTTTGCAGAGCATCCCTGTTTGCATTTATATCCCACTTTTTTCTACTTTGATGAGCTTTAAAGGCAGTTTACATAGCTCCTCACAAGGACAACCCTGAGAGGTAGGTTAGGCTGTTGAAGGTAGGTTAGGCCAAAGAAAGGCAACAAAATGATTGTGTCACTCTTCTAAAGATGAATCCACCTGTTCAAACAGCAGTGGTATCTTGCTCTGCCTAAATAATAATCTTGGAACATCTTAGTGAATGTTTTCTGGCTTTCTATTTTTTAACAACCTAACAAGTTTGATTTCCATTTCCCCCCTTGCCGTCTAGAAACGGGAAGGCCTCCTTCAGACAACCCATGTCACAGAGGAGCTCACCACCACCACAGAGTAAGCACTGCTCTCCTTAGCCTTTTGATACTGTGTGCAAACAAATCTCAAATTATCCCCCAACATGGGTATCAGCATGCACTGCGGCTGTAAGCAAGCCACTATGACTCAAGTTGAGGTGATCATGCAAACTGAGTCACTGAAAATCTTTAGTAAGCACATACAAATTTGTCTTTCTAATCAAGGGCAAAGCCCTATCTATGAGCACGATAACCAAAATAATTGTGGGGTAGAAAGGTATGTTGTCTTTCCATACTATAAAAATAGATATAAAGAAAATAGTTTTTTGGCATTCGGACACAGAACTTTCACCTTTCTTAAAAGATGATGTAGCATCCTTAATGGGTGAACCTTAATGGGTTTCCTATTAAAATATGGGTTCTCAGGAACCAGTTAACCATGAACTAACAAAGTGTTTCTAAAACTCTGATTTTCAGGATGATGATGGGAAGATTTGGTAAGTAAATTATTTTAACTTGGATAATGAATGCATAAAGGGGGTCTGAGTGCAAGATGCAAAGATCAAAATCAATGTGCCATTTTATACTAGAAGTACTATATCGTGTTTGGTCCAGCATTTCACTGACTCCTGTTTGGGATTGCCCTGAGGCATATGATGAATGGTGGCCCCCTCAGTCCTGCCTTGCTCCTCAGCTTGGGACCATCTCACAGTTGCTACATGTGCCTCTGGCCTCCATGTTGCATCAGGCACTCTTTCTTCTTTCCCCTTTACTCCTTTTGGTCCCAGTCTAGTTTGATCTGAAGCCAGCTGCTGTTTCTGCCCACTCAGGCAGTGATGGACTAGAGAACCCCCTTCCAGCTCCTCCAACCAAAGTGCTGCTTGAGACAAAAACGTTAGGTTTCCTAGTGATAAGGCTACCCATGCTTCCACTGAAAACTTTGCCCTGGGAATACATTACAAGATTTCCTTAGGTGAGCATTGAATAAAAATAATCACCATGTGTAGATTGCTTCCAGTAAGTCTCACGAAACAAAAGTCTTTATTTTTTAATTTTTAAACAAAGCCGTATTTCCCTTTTTCTCTTAAACCAGAGCGAGATGCTTTTGATACCCTCTTTGACCATGCTCCGGATAAACTAAGTGTAGTGAAAAAGGTAAAACATTTGCATTTGATGGACCAATGGGAAATGGGAAGGGACTTGATTTCACAAGTTTGGTTTGCCAGTAAATTATTTTTAGATTCCTTGTTATCTTACTAAAAAAAGTTTCCTGAGGAAATGTATGCAGTAGAATGAAGTGAGAGCTTAGAAGAGGGGTGTTATTTGTTTCCTCTGGTCCTAATAGTCTCAAACTTTTAATAGTATACTCTAAAGTCTATACCTCTTTTCTTTAAAACAACAACAAAATTCTTTTCAAAGTCTTAGGACAGGTTCAGAGATGCTGAGCTGTGCTAGGCTTACGTGAAGGCATTGTTTTTGTGAACTGGCTCTCAGGTTGTGTGTAGTGATGAATGCCTTAATTCCCTTAATGGATACACACCAGTCATTGATGTTTGGTAGACTATAAATTTCTAGTCTGTCCACAGCCTTGTATTCTTGTATTCACATGAAGAACACCATAATATCTGAATCAGTCCTTGCCTAGAGAAAGGTGTTCTATATGCTGGTTTTCATTGTGCAACAACTAATTTGAAGTATGATAGTTTATCAGACAACATTCAAAGGATTAGAGACCAGAATCTTAATGCAAATGCCTGGTTAAAATCTTCAGTCCGTTAAAGGATATAATTATATGGAAATGAAAACCATTTTCTTGGCTAGAAATCTTACAATGCAACATGAAAACTAAGGCTCCCCGCCCTCCCGCGTCCACCACCAAAAGGTGACTGCTCTGTACACAGTGCCTTTTACCTCTAGTACTGCTTCTTTTCCCCCATATATGTAGTAATGAACTTTGATAAAATCAGAAGCATCTTCAGGTTTTTGTGAGACTCATGTAAGACATTCAGTGGATTCATCTATCACACAAATACTTTCAGTGAATCCCTTAATCTAATCCCTCTCTGTTACACACATTGTGACCAATTGGCTTGGTGGGAGGGTTGGAGCTTCCTCTTCTGATGTGAAACAAATCTGGTGGCAGGTTTTTTGTTCATTCATCCCCCACCCTGTGGTTCAAATTAATGATATTGGCCTTTAAAGTTACGTCACAATGAGCCGATGTGAACTACCCAAACAGTTTCTACTGGAAATGCTATGTTGTGGTGGTAATAATTTAGATAATACCTCAATATTGCTTTCCTATTCTGATATTTCTGCAATATGCATAATGCATAATTGAAAGTTCACAAACAATTCTCCTTTGAGAACATTAGCACAAAATATGCTAATTTTGGGGAGTGGGAAGGAGAATATAAGAACTCATCTTCTTTTAGGCCACGCTGTCACAGTATTTCATGCTTTACTTCCACTTTTAGCAAATGTGGATTATTATCTTGAATATTTTCTCAACAGTATTTAAAATGGAGTTTTTATTGAGTCTATATATTTCAGTAGGTTAGATCTGTGATATGAGGTCTGTGGTCACCAAGTGACCATTGGACTGGTGGCACTCATTCTTGGCTTCCTGCCTGTATAATGCATAGAAAAGTGCCAAGATCCTTTGCAAACTAAAGCTGTAAGGGAGGGTCACTGGCCTGCTCCAGCTGGCAACAGTGCTCAAGTAGAAGTCTTTCCCAGTTGGACTATCTGGATTCTATTTTTAATTGGAGATGCTAGGCCAGCCTGCAGATATGTTGGACTTCCAGCTTCCATCATTCTCAGCCAGCATTGTCAGCACTGCTGGAAGGTGCCAAGTTGGGAAAGGCTATACCAAAGATTGAAATCAGGACCTTAGGTTTGCATACTCAGCTGTGCTAGAAATGCCTTTACCTAGAGCCACATGTAATATTTCAAAGCCCGGGCAAAGCTGTTGTCCATGCTGGTGGCAGGTTTCATATCTCTAAAACTGTATGTGAAAGTACACTTTTAAAAATTTGAAAGAACTCAGGTAGACCTGTCATTGCCCACAGCTTATATAAATCTAGTTTTTCTTTCCTGTCAATGGTCAACAATGCTTTGTGGATTTTTGTAGGAATGCAAAGTAGAATAGGGCAGAACAAACACTTAGTAGTACTTAGTAGTACTAGTACTTAGTAGTAAAGCGGATCCTGGCATGCAGAAGGCTCTGGTTTCTCACAACTCCAGTCAGAAGATCTCTGCCCAATGGTCAGGACAGATAGTTCTCAGCTAGATATGCTAATGATCTTGACAATGATCTTGACAATATCAGGCAAGTTTTGAACAGGGAATGCTGGCTCTGTTTTCAAATTTCAGATAGGTTTATATAGTTATCATACTCTAAATTTCTCCTTTCCACCAGTTTTTTGTTGAAAATCCCTTTGCTGGTTAGCTTTCCTAATTGCTTGTATTTTATGCTGTAGTTGCACACTTTTACAAGTTTATATTGTATCATGGTTTTTTATTATTAGCATTTTAACTCTTGTGAACTGCCCTGAGAGCTTCAGTTCTTCGTCGTGGCCTCTGTGCATCACACATATGGGGTACTGTGCCTGTGCAGTGCCTGTGGCTGGAAGATTGATAGCTAACGGTTTTTGGTGAGAAGTTCCACTCCCCCTCCCCCCTGTGGCCTATAAAGAGCGGAGCGTCTGCCATTTTGTTGAGTCTTTGCGACCACCATTCTCTGTGCCTCGTGCCGCTTTCGACTTTCGCTTCGACTATTACCTCGTTCTCGAATTGTCCTCGTATCCTAGTTTTTAGCTCTCCTTACTCCCAGCTTATTATTTCTTCTTTCGATCTATCAAAAAAAACAAAAACAAACAAAAATATATACTTATCCTCTTCACTATCTCTCTTTTTCTTTCTCTTCTTCTGCGATGGCGCAGCGAGCGGCTTTCCGCAAATGCGCGGATTGCGGGTCAAAAATGGCACCAACTGACCCGCATGACCTATGCCTCCTCTGCCTGGGAGAGGGGCATAGGACGGATAAATGTGTGCATTGCCTGGCCTTTTCCAAGCAGGCCAGGAAGAACCATGAAAACCGGCTTCGGAGGCTCCTTTGGGATCGGGCTCTGATGCAGTCAGACCCGCTCGTCACCATCCCAAAACCTGGCTCCGCTTCTATGGCCCCACCCTCACGGCCTTCGGATGAAGGTGCGTCTGTTTCGGTGGCCCCTTCTGCTTCACCTAAAAAGAAGCATGAAAAGCGGAAGCACACCGAAGAGAAGTCGGCAGGCCATAAGAAGGCCAGAAAGGAGAAGGTCTCCAAGCCTCCAAAAAAGTCCAAGACCTTGGACCGTCTGGACCATCCCCGACATTGGAATTCGGAACCGATGGGACCCTCGGCACCGGTGGCGGTTACGGTACCGACCCCGCCCGAACCGGTCCTCCAGGAGGCTATGTGGATTACCCCTCAAGGGTCTCCCCACTGTTTGGTTGACCTCCCGCCTGCACCCCTTCCAACTCTATGGGGTTCAGTTTCCAATGGGGAAATCCAGGACTCCCCTCCTAGGGTGAGGTCACTGACACCCATGCCCGCGGTGACGATGGAAACAGACATTGGCCTGTCTCCACCAGGGAGCCGGAGGAGCCGCTCGGTAGAGCAACGCCCAGAGAGTTGGCGTCGCCCTTATTACCATACTTGGGGCGATCTGCTCTCTGTAGGGTACTACCCTGCTCCCAGGGCACGATCATCTCCTCCACCCCGCGACCAACCGCGATCAGTGGATTCGAGGCGGGTGCCACCTCGATCCCCACAAAGTGGAAGCAGCCGCTCCTTCTTGCCAGCAGAGTTGTCATCTTCGGCCCCACCCTACTATGGTGCCGATTCAGCTGACTCGGAGGTCGACTCAACCTCCCTGGACGTCGCTGTGACATCCCAGGGTCCTACGTCACCCGATGAGTCCCACGTCTCCTTCGCTGAGCTGATGTCGAGACTTTTCCAGTCCCTGGACATCGACGCTGCCCAGCACCCGGGACCATTGACGGACAAGTTTTACGACGTCGTCCGGGGGGAGCAATCGACATCTATCGTTCTGCCGCTCATAACCACCTTGTGGCAGGCGATGACGCAGCCCTGGGACCTGCCATCACATCCTCAGCCGACGTCCAGGAGGTATGAGTCGATGTACAGGGTTCGGGAAGAGGATACTCCCTTCCTCCTCAAACACCCGAAACCGAACTCTGCGGTCGTCGAATCCTTGCAGGGCAGAGAGGCGAGAGGACACACAGCACCGAGAGATAAAGAGGGCCGAAAAATAGACTCCCTGGCCAGGCGAGTCTATGCTGCTTCGGGCTTGGGGCTTCGCATATCAAATTATGAGGCAACGTTGGCGAGATATCAGTATTTTATTATGCAGCGCCTCCACAACGTCACCTCCACCCTCCCAGACCACCAGGGTGATCTCGCGAAGGTCCTGATCAAGGAAGCCATGCAGGTTGCGGTACAGCAGTTATCCACGGCAAGGCACCACGTGGATACTGACTCCAGGGCCTTAGTCGGTGCCGTTTCTCTTCAGAGGCATGCATGGCTCCGGAATTGTAATTTCCCGGAAGAAACCAAGCGGCAGATAGAGGAAATGCCTTTCGATGGATCCGGGCTTTTCCATTCTCGAACCGACCATAAGCTCAACGAGCTCCATGAATCGAGGATGACGGTATGCAGGATGGAGATCCAGTCTCACGCCAGACGTAAGTGGTCCTGGAATCGTCCATCCTACAGGCAATCCTATCAACCGAGGCAGCAGCCTCAACACCGCCAGCAACAACAACAGCAGTGCCACCGCCCTCAGCCCCAACAGTGTTTTCAGCAGGGCCGCCGTTGTTTTGGCAATCGGAGGCAATGCTGACGGGACTGGCAAACCATTCCTCACACTCCTTCAATACCCACCCCCCTCTCATTTGGGGATCGGCTTCAAAGCCGACTCCCCATTTGGGAGTCCATCACATCTGACCGGTGGGTATTATCCATTGTTCAACACGGCTATCGAATAGAATTCGACATCGTTCCTCCATCGAGTCTGATCAGGTCTACTGTATGCTCACTGGTACTCCTCGACGAAATACGTCAACTTCTTCGTAAAGGAGCGATTCGTTAAGTATTTCCATCTGACGGACTTCACAGATTCTATTCCAGATACTTAACGGTCCCTAAGAGGGATGGTGGTCTACGTCCGATTTTGGATCTACGGAACTTAAATACGTTTATTGTACCGAGAAAGTTTCGTATGACTACCCTTCAAAACATTTTGCCGTTGTTAAGGAGAGAGGATTGGTTCACCTCACTGGACTTGAAGGACACCTACTTCCACATTTCAATTCACCCAAATTACAGGCGTTTCCTTCGTTTTGCGATTGCAAGCCAACTTTATGAGTTCACTGTTTTACCTTTTGGACTGGCTATGGCTCCGAGAGTTTTTACCAAGTGCATGGCTCCTGTCTGTGCCTTCCTACGCCTTCAGGGCATACAAATTTATCCGTACCTCGATGACTGGCTGTTGGTCTCACAGTCCAGAGAAGGACTCTTGGCGGCCATCCATAAGACCTGTGCCTTACTAGATGACCTAGGCCTATGTATTAATACAGAGAAATCTTCTCTTCTTCCGACACAGATGCTCACCTTCATCGGAGCCCGCTTGGATTCGACACTGGAGAAAGCTTTCCTCCCGCAAGACAGACAGCAGACTCTTGCTCGCCTTATCCATCGAATCAGACAAGAAGGAACGGTCATGGCGAGGTCTATCCAGAGGGTCCTGGGACATATGGCGTCCTCAGTTGCCATGGTTCCACATGCCAGACTTCAGCTTTGCCCACTACAACTATTTTTCAACAGGGTGTATCACCCTCAAAGAGAGCCACAGTCCAAACTGATTCGGATCCCATCTTCCGTGCTCCACTCTCTGCGCTGGTGGCTGAAACCGACCAATCTTACGATAGGAGTCCCCTTCAGGGTGCGACCTCCTACGATAACCCTCGGCACCGATGCGTCTCTCCTAGGATGGGGAGCGATATGCTCTGGCCTATCTACCCAGGGTACGGGGAATCGTCTAGAATCCACAAATCATATCAACTTCCTGGAGCTACTGGCAGTCTTCAAGGCCCTTCGTTCTTTCGAGGACCTCCTTCATCATCAGATCGTTCAGATAACCTCGGACAGTATAGCGACCGTCTTTTATCTGAACAAACAAGGAGGGACGAAGTCACCAACTCTAGCAAGACTCTCGATGGAAATTTGGGACTGGTGCATTCAGAGACACATCGCGCTGATGGCTGTTCATGTGGCTGGCATAGACAACGTGCACGCGGACCTTCTCAGCAGGCACATGTTCACCTCTCACGAGTGGAAACTGGACCCTCGTACGCGCAACCACCTTTTCAGGCGCTGGGAGTTCCCCGATGTGGACTTATTCGCTACCCAACAGAACAGGGTGTGCGAGGCTTACTGTTCGAGAGCGGGAATCGGACACGCATCCCTAGGGGACGAATTCATGATCCCTTGGAACAACATGCATTTCTATGCCTTCCCTCCGATCCCTCTTCTGATGAAGGTCATAGCAAAGATCGTGCATGACCGGGCATCGGGGATACTAGTTGCCCCTTGGTGGCCACATCAAGCGTGGTTTGTGAAACTACTCGACATCTCTCACGGGGAATTTCTTCATCTTCCATCGCTCCCATATCTTATAACACAGGTGGACGGCAAACTTTGCCACCCAGACTTGCTCTCATTGAACCTAACAGCATGACGAATTTGATGATTGACGTTCCATCGATGCCGACAACGGTTTCAAGAGTTACGAATCCGACAGCTTCTACTAATCTATCGGTACCGACGATGACTTCGACCACCTTGGATCCAATTGTCAAATCCAATCACTCGGGTGCTTCCCCTTTCCCTGATCTCTCTGCACCATCCGGTTCGAGACAAGACCCGTCGAATTCGAATCCGATGTTTTTGCACCCTGATATTCAGCATATCATCGACTCTGCCTTAAAGCCGTCCACAAGGAAGTCATATAAGGCTAAATGGAAACGTTTTTCCACCTTTGCCGAGTCGCGTTCTTTCTCCCCATTCCTCTCATCTATTGAACAAATTCTTCAGTTCCTCCTGGAATTGCACCATTCCAGAGTGAAGCCGTCATCCATTAAAGTTTATACAGCCGCGATAGCCTACCACTGTGGATTAGTCGACGGATCACCTCTGTTTTCTCATCCTATCCTCAAGAGATTTTTGAGGGGACTATATAATTTTCAATTAGACCGGTTATGCCCACATGGAGCCTTTCTGTAGTTCTGCAGGCCCTTATGAAGGCCCCCTTTGAACCTTTAGCGACAGTGGATCTGCAATTGGTTTCTTGGAAGACGGTGTTTCTTGTAGCTGTCACTTCAGCCCGGAGGGCCAGTGAACTTTGCGCTCTTCGAATAGACCCTCCTTATCTAAACTTTCACAGAGAGAAGGTCGTTTTACGCCTCGACCCATCTTTTTTACCCAAAGTGTCTACACCTTTCCATACAGGACAAGACATTGTGCTGCCTGCTTTTTTCCCGTCACCGTTGACCCCTTTGGAAAGATCATTGCACTCACTTGATGTTCGCCGTTGCTTAGCCTTCTACCGATCGCGGACAGAGTCTATTCACCAATCCAATAAGCTATTCATCAAATATTCTACTAGGAATCAGGGCGATCCAGTCACTCCACAAAGACTTTCTAAGTGGATAGTCCACACTATTGTCTTGTGCTGTCAGTTAGCTAAACTCGAACTTCCCCGAGGCCATTCTGCTAGAGCTATTGCAACCTCATCTGCGTTCGCATCGGAGGTCCCGATTGATGACGTCTGCTGAGCCGCTACTTGGGTGAACCCTTGCACCGTTGCCAGGCACTACCGTCTCGATATTCAGGCTCGACGGGACTGCTCCTTTGGTAGAGCTGTACTCTCCTCTGTTCTTCACTGAGGACACCTTCCCGCCCCCTTGATGGTAAGCTTGTTAATATGCCCATATGTGTGATGCACAGAGGCCACGACGAAGAAAAGCAGGTTGCTTACCTGTAACTGATGTTCTTCGAGTGGCCATCTGTGCAGTCATACAACCCACCCGCTGGCCCTGCTCGGTGTCGGTGAGTGGATGCATTGACAGCTCGGTGTCGATGAGAAAGGCATCTTCGGTACCGACCATCCCCCTTTTTTATGGTACCGACACAAAAAAAAAAAAGATTTAAAATTATTAAGATATCGTATGTTCGGTCGCAAAGACTGAACAAAATGGTGGACGCTCCGCTCTTTATAGGCCACAGGGGGGAGGGGGAGCGGAGCTTTCCGCCAAAAACCGTTAGCTATCAATCTTCCGGCCACAGGCACTGCGCAGGCGCAGTATCCCATATGTGTGACTGCACAGATGGCCACTCGAAGAACATCAGTTACAGGTAAGCAACCTGCTTTTAATGGATGTTATAGAAATGTAATAAATAAATATGAATTAAATTTAGCAAGCCCTCTGAAAGGACCAGGTAGACTTTGTATCAGATATTTTTAGAGGCTTCAAGAACATTTGATTTGCCCATATGAGCATTTATGTGAGGAATGCTTAAACCACTTGCATGGGCTAAAACTGCATTGTATGAAGTTGATTCCACTTCTTTCAAATTCCAAATATAAGAAAAGTGGTAAAGTATACTACATCAGTGTAAGGTTTGAAGTTGGCTTTGCATTGGGAATATGTTACACTCACAGATTTTTTAAAATGTGAAAATTGGTTGGTTTTTTTCATTTCTTTGATTCTTGTGTTCTTGTCCTCTACAGTCCTTGATCACTTTTGTAAACAAACATCTAAATAAGCTTAATTTGGAAGTGACAGAATTGGAAACCCAGGTAAGTGGCATTCATTATGGATGCTGAAGGTTATGCTGCATATTCAGATGCACATAATCATCTGTGTTTGTAAAGTCAAAGAAAGTGTGGGGAATTTCACTGAGCTACTGGGGAAGGGAGGAGCTTTAAGCATTTCCTCACTTGTTTTTCTGGTCAAAATCACCCTCTCCTGTATGCTTCTCCACCCAGATACTTGCTGCTAAAAATATAGGGCCAGATTAAGCCATTCTGTTGTCCTAGGTAAAGATTGTATCTGCCTACTCCCTTCAACACTTTTTCTTCTTTTGAGAGTTTTGCTTCATTGCAGTTCTGCTTCCTGTTCCATACGATATAAGAGGCCACTGAATCAAATGAAAAGCCTGTTAAGTCCAACACTATGTGGCCATCCAAGCAGCTTTGGGAAGCTCACAAGTAGGACTTGAGCACAGTGGCACCTTCCTGCTTGTGTCCCCCAGGAATGGGTGTGCATGGGCTAATGTATAGTCTTCATGACCACTAGCCTCTGAAAGTTTTATTTATTATATTTATACCCCACCATTTTTCTTTCAAGAAACTCAAGGTGGGTTACATAATATTCCTCCTCCTCTCAATCTTATCCTCACAACAATCCTGTGAGATAGATTAGATTAAGAGTCCATGACTGGCCCAAAGTCACTCAGTGAGCTTTGTGGTGGAGTGGGTCTAGAACCCAGTTCTTCCGGATTCCGGTCCAACACTCTTAACCACTACACTACACTGGTACTCTCTCTTAGGCTTCATGATTTTGCTTAAGCCCTTTCAAAGACACTCAAATTGCTGGACATGCAGATGGGTAATTTGGCAAATGGCACTTCGGACAGAGCATAGTTTAAAGAAGCTGTTGCGGCTTGTTTAAACTATGGTGATTGTGTGAACTGGACCCTTGTTTGACTCTTCTTGTGGCCTCATTGGGAGTGACACTGGTACTTCTCTTCAGTTTGCAGATGGTGTTTACCTGGTATTACTGATGGGACTCCTTGAAGACTATTTTGTTCCTCTTCACAATTTCTATTTAACACCTGAAAGTTTTGATCAGAAGGTGGGTGTATGTTTGCAGTATTCTTTGAGCTGTTGTTTTCTATTTTATTTTTATCAGTTTATTATTACATCACATTATATTGCATAATCCTCCCTGTAACGAACATTATGTGAGCAGATTGCAGTTTAAAGAAGAAAATAACTGGAGCAAGACTGAAGTCAAGATTACTGCTGATAATCTGTACTGTTAATATTTCAGAGCTATGTGAGAATATATATTATAAAGCTTAGCTATGAATTTCACCTTATAAAGCCAATTGATCAAGCAGCTAATAAATCCCACTCACTTTATGATGAAGTATTAGCTACTGTGTGTGTATGAGAGAAAGAGAGCCTGTAAAGATATAGTGCCTTGCAGATATAAAATGAAGGAAAATTACAGCCCAAGGGGAATAATGACACTTCATCCCAAAGGTTCTGCTCCAGCAGAATGTATGTGGAGCAGCTGAGTCTCTGTGCCCAGATTTTTATTTCTAAAAGTCTAAGATCCCGTTGTTAGGCTGGGAAACAGGTGAGGGGGCTGAATGCAGACCTCTTGCTCTCTTGCACAAACATCAGGTGGAAGTATTTTGGCTAGTTTCAAAAGGCTACCCATGTGCAACGCTGAAGGTCAGGTAGGCCTGAGGACACATTCAGTTGCCCATCCAGCTAGGGATGGGGTGATGAAACCTGCTTCCATGACTGGATAGCCTCAACTGAAAGGCAGCAAGAACTGTAGAATAGGGACAGCGCGTTGGTCGCAGGCACCCAGGAGGCGTTCCCTGTTCCTTTCAGTCTCTGGGGTAGCCCCCATGGGGCCTTTCAGTGTATGCACCAAAACTGCTGAATCAGACTCAGCTATATGAACATGCCCCAAATGCTGATGCTATAATTTCCACAGAATGGCCAATATAAAGTGCTTATATTCTCAGTATAAAGTTACATGAAGCTATGTATTAATAAATATTATGAACTCATAAGTCAGTTTGCATAGTACTGCTTGAAGTCCCTCATAGAAAATAAAAGAGTTGTCTAGTTGAAGGGATGTTGTGTCGATGGGTGTGTGTGTGTGTGTGTGAAAGAGGGTACAACCCTCATTCATGCAATTTCATCTTTATGTGTTTAAAGATTTATCTATAGCGCTTGAGGCAGCACTCAGCCAATTTATAGAGTCTTTATAAAGCTAATGCTATCCATAGGATTTTGCTTTTGACTAGAAGAGTGAAGATTAAGCAAGAATTGGAAAGAGCAATAAATGCTTTTTGAATGCTGAACTCCCAGGGAGGGGAAGCTTTTGCCTGTTTTTACTGCTCAGCTCACTGAACGATGAGCAGTTTTAATTAAATTCTTCCCCTCCAATGCCAATGTAACATCTCAGGAATTGGTAATTTAAAACTGGGGTGGATGCAGAGCACTCTGAATCAACAGCAGAAAAAGAATGTTTTGCTTGGCATTAGTATAAACCAAAAAGGCAGTAGCTACTTCAAAATTATTCATTGATAACAACTTTGGACCAGATTTTCTGCAATGACATCCTTAACTAGAGTGATTATGCTCTTTGTTTCACTCATTGTACACTCTTCCGGGTATCACAAATCAATCCTGTTTGCTTCTATAGACAAGCTCATGTATCAGTTACTTGACAAGATTGAGTTGGTTCATACATGAGCCTCTTGTGTAGATCAGAAGATGAAGCACATCAGGGCTGCAGCTTTTATAGCTTGTTAGCCAAAGTGTTGTTATGCTTTCAAGACATCTCCAATTTATAGCCACCCTATGAATTTATGTCCTCCACAATTTCCTGTCCTTGACAGCCCCTCTCAGTTCTTGTAAATGTTAGCCACACTAGATGTACACATAACTTTCCCTGTGCTTTCCCCCGACTTCAGACTATGGTGGGGATAGGGATTGAGTGTTTAAAGCGCCCTGTCCATGAAAAGCTAGTTAGCCATTTCCCTGACATACTAACTTTCTATGGTTAGGGTTGTCCTTATGTGTGATCACCACCTCTGATAGGGCCACAGTTCAGCAGAGGCACAACCACAAGACATTTCTGAACATAACATTTCAAAGGTTTCTGAAAATAAGCTTGTGAGTCTCGAGGTTGCTGTGTGTGAAATGAATGGGTTACCTGAATTGATTACAGAAGCTGAAAATGCTCATGTGTGAAATGGAGACCAATGGTGACAACTGTTTTAATATTTTTAAACAATACTGTTCTTGGATGCAGACAATACATTTGCAATCAAGATTGGCTTAAGAATCCAATGGAGATAAAGTCCCTGAGAGGGAAAATGAAGAAAAATCCTTCCTCCTCATTATGTGAATCTAACAGAGGGCTTTCTGTTGGTTGGTTGTTTTGCAGGTTCACAATGTTTCTTTTGCTTTTGAACTGATGCAGGATGGAGGGTTGAAGAAGCCAAAGGCTCGACCAGAAGGTAGTGTGCAGAAGCAACTCTGCCGTTTGTGCGTGCATTGGGTGGGGGAATGGGAGCTGGGAGGATTGGTTCTCCAAAGGGTCATTTCTTTACCACTCTGGTTGTCTTTCTACATTCACATGTTTAGTTCTTAAAATCTTAAGAAACCTGGAGTGTATAATAAAACTGGATTCCTATCTCTCAAACAGTATCACTAGTTGCTTGATCATCTGCCTTTTAACAAATTGATATGCCTTTATTTCAACTTCATTATTAGACAAATCAATGTAACTAGTTCTTTGAGAGACTATTTATTGAAGCCAGTGTAGGATCAATTATAGTTACAAAAGCTACCAGTCACAGTTAGGGGAAAAGTCATTTTTAATGTTTTTCCTTTTCATTCCTTATTCCCTGCTGACAGTCAGATTTCATGGTCTGAAGTTTTTTTTAAAGCATCCAAAAAGCCATGATGAGCCCCCAACAGCTTGCATTTGTAGTTAGAATAGGGGTAGAGAAACAACTTGGTGCTTCCATAGTATCCCAAGGGATACCTGCAGGAGAGGCAGGGAGGGGAGAAAGAAGTCACACTTTATAGTGGCTTGTTGTGTTGGTACCAGGGGGAACAGAAAGCTGTTTTCAGCTCTTGCAGTCTGTTCGATTTATTAACGATACTACAGATAAATTGTCCATGCAAGATTTCAATACCCACTGGTGCTTCTTCATTCTGTCAAGCTGCTCATTTTTCAGGCAAATTGTTTGTTTGTAGGACTCCATCTTTTTCTTTTGCTTATTCCTGCATTAATTATTATAAAATTAAACTTGAATTGTTTGAAATGCAGCCTAGAACCGTCTGGATTAAACCAACACTTGCTGATGTCTAGTATGTCCCCCAGATTGGTCCAAAAACTATGTTCCCCCAATTCTGTCCAAGAACTCCAAAATCCTGGAAAATTTTGAAAACTTCTCTAATGAAAATAAATGAAATTTCATAGGGGAAGACCTTTCTTATCTGTAGATTATCATAAATGTTTTTGCTGAATATGTTAATAGAAGTACTTGTAAAGTCTTTAACTCAGATGGTTCTCCTGAAGATGTAGTTACTATAGTGGAAAAGTGATGTGAATGGTGTAGTTCAGAGAAATTTTATCTTCTGATTATGCAAGTCTTTTCTGATCACCTTTAGCTTCTGCAAAGATAAAAGTTTTCTCCACAGGATAAGAAACTGCAAGTTTTAAATGGGAGCTTTAATTCACCGCCTCCTGAATTCTGTTTTGCCATATAACAATGCCTGAGATTACACAGTGAATGCATGGCTGGATTTAAATTCTGTGTGAAATAATAACAGTTCTTAGATGTAGCTACTGTTTTGCTTTCTGGATCTCAGAGAATGTGCAGAACAAAGGCTGATGAACAAATGTTCAATTTGGCATCTTAATTGGAAGAAATAAACCATGTGAAGCAATACCCTTGAAGTTCTAAAATGGAATATTTTCTCAGATCTGTTTCTCAGATGACGTAAAATGTTCAGATTGCACAAGTTGTTGGAAAAGACAATGTATTAATCTGAAAATGATCTTATCAAGGGAATGCCAAGATTATTTTCTCTTTAAAAAGATTGCCAATAAAAATGTTTTTAGTATTCTAAGACAAGAGCCATTAAAACAATCATGCCCTCTTTTTTTAAATTCCACAGATGTTGTCAACTTGGATCTGAAATCTACCCTAAGGGTTTTGTACAACCTGTTCACCAAATACAAGAATGTTGAGTGATCTGGATCTTCAGAACAGCCTTTTTTAGCGGGAGGGGAGGAAATGTCTTCATTTTCTTCCTCTTGTGTCATATATTGTATTCCCTGATGCATGGTGATATCTCTTCTTCGGTTAGCATTTTTTCAGTGTTACTCTTTATGCTTTGAAATCACTCTGTGTTTTTTAAAATGTAGTTTAATTTCTTGAAATATTTCACATTGTACTTGTTTGCTCTGCAAGATACTGTCTCATGTATGCTACATTCAACAAAAATGTCTTGTTCCATTAGTGGAAAATGCAGTTATGACTTATTTCCATTGATGAGAAGATCTGAATAATTTGCTCATTTCTGAATTCTTCATATCTCACTTCCATCATAAATTCACGAGGTGGCTTTAGGCAAGCCATTGTCAGCCTCAGTTTCCACATCTGCAATACAAAGATTATAACAATACTGACCTCTTTTCAGGGCAGGGTCATTGTAAGATACCTAAGTCATGAACTGCTTTGAATACTCTAAAAGGGTATACAGGCCCTTGGGTAAAATGTAGACCTATAACATCTGGGTATGGGTGTTGGCTGGATGGAATGTGGAGTTTAATTTTAAAAAAATGTGTGCAACTGTGAGAGTAGGAAGTAGTAGTGATCCATTTAGCAAGGGAGAATTCATTCCACCTGTGCATAACACAAACATGAGTCCATCTATTTTTCACCCACATTTCATTATACATCCCAGTTTAAGAATATGTATCCCATCCTTGTTAATTAAGCCACACACAGTTTCATTTATGTATAAGTTTTGTTTCACTGTATTGGTTTGTGTTGAGACTGTGACCTCAGACTCTTCTGTTTAGCTTTTGAAGGCCTCGTCTGTCTTTTTGTGTCATCTTTTTACCATCCAGTATTACTTCCACTGAATACACTGTGAATCTCAAGTGGAGCCGCTGCCTAATTTGAATAAAGTAGGATTTCTTAATCTTTTCTTCTTCTGAAGGGAGATTTGGCTGTCTGGGTTGTTGGTTCTGCTGGGTGAGATGCTGCTTATGCAAATGGGCAAATATGGGCAAATATATCGAAATGTGGGCAAATATATTGAAAATATCTTCCTAAAACGCATGTTTTCAAACTGAGTTTTTGAAACCTATCAGGGTTTCTCAAAAAGGTTGATTTAAAAATAACTCACATAATCCTTGAAAGAAACATTATTTATCACTTGCAAGCTTCCTCAGAAATGTGAAAGGCTGTTTCACTTGGCTGCCGCACAGCTTGCAGTACCTTTACCTGCAGTCCGTTTCTTCTTCTTCAGCAATAAAAACAGCCTTTGCAAATAATTAAACTCCTGCAGCCAAATGGTTGGTTGGTCGGTCAGTTCAACTCAGTATGTGAAATGTAAGTCATTACCATTAATTCTTTGCCCATGTTATTGTATCACCAGATCACAAAGGGTGCTTTTAGATAAGGCTTTTATTGTGCCCCATTCCTGTAATTTTCTGTTGTGCTCTATTCATCATGACAGCATTTGTTCTGCCATGTTTTAGCCTCCTTATGCCTTCACTTTCATGCCCTCCTGAGATATCTTTCCTTGGCTTGTCCATGTGTGTGAGGCTTTAATTCCAACCAAACCATTAGTTTTTCTTCCCTTACACAGCTTGAATTGCAAACTAATTCATTCCTTGAGCAGTTGAACATTCCAATCCCTTGCAATAGCTTAGCTTAGGAGATCCCAAATGTGGACACATTTGGAATTGTGATTGGGTGTTGTGGATACCCTTACAAAATGGTGACCTCTGGGTTTTTGCTCATTTACCAAATGGTTGCCACCATGGATACAGCCAGCACAAAACACAAATTTCCTACAAAGAATATTGGTGAGGCTGAAAGAAATGTCTAAGAACCTAAGTCAGAGATGGGACATGGACACCAAAATACAAAACTACTCTTCTGAACACAGTTTTCTCCTCCAAAGTACATTTAATGGAATTGTCTGTGATGAAACAAGTAGTTTGACTAAGAAACTAGAAGTGGGATCTAAGCCCCAAATACCAAATTGCATATTTGTCTTCACACAGCACAAAATACCTGTTTCACAGATGTCAAACTGATGGTGCTCTAAGAAACACACCCATGATTGCTAGCCCTGAAGGAATTGTGAAGCAACCTCTTTTCCCTTCCTCCTCCCTCTCTGTGTGACAAATTAGGCTGGAAGTGGGTGTTAAATGATCACCACTGTATACATGCCATGAAACAGCTTCAGTATAATTGTTTTCTCTCTCTGCCACTTCTTTTTACCTACTTCCCCTTATCACCCTGACTGCTGAGAGAGGGACAGATGGTTCTTGCTAGGGGTCTGAACTGATCACCTGCTCATAAGGCTCTACCAAGTAAGAGGAGATAGCTACAGAAATACCCAGCTTAGAATTCAGAAGATTGTAATATTTGCAGTGCTGTCCTGTAGTTAGTTGGTAGGCCAAGGTAAGACAGTGCATATTTTATCTGAGCAAAACTTCTGATTTTAAGAAAGCCACTACCAGATGTATGTGGGAAAACCTCCATCTAGACTGTGTGGGAAAGTACTGCACAGATCATGGAGGTTTCATTTCTGTTTTGTGTTAGAGGCCTCTGTCTAGCTGCCTCCTAGGACAACAGCATCCTCACAGAGTACATGTTTGGCATTCAAGAGTTCTTGAGTTCAAGGCTGCCAAGTCCAGCAAGGGTTGGAAAAACTTCTTTCTGAAGCTGTGGAAACTGTTGGCCAGTCAGCATGGACAACACAGGGCTAGGTGGACCATCAGTTTGACTTGGTTATAGTAACAAAGCTTTCTCTGTTGGTATGTTAACAATAATGTCTTCTGCGTTTAGCCACCAGGTGGCAACAAAGACACTTGGAATGTAAAAATATGCACAATTCACTTGAAATCCAAACCCTGTCTAATGAGGGTGCTGATCAATGACACATATGTTACATATCTTGTTATAGTCAAATCAATCATTTGGAGGCAGCAGATACATCATCTCCGCAAATATTTAAGAACAGAGCGGGTTTGGTGGTGGGACTGGGAACTCAGGAAATCTGGATTCTTGTTCCCACTTGGCTGTGCAAGTCACTGGGTGATTTTGGGCCAAAGAATCTTAGTCCAACCTCACAAGGTTGTTGCTGAGAGAATAAAATGGATCTATGTAAGCCGTCTTGGGTTTCTCACAAGAGGAATAAATGCAATATAAAATAATAGTTACCACAATATCGACATGGCCAGATGCTTACATTATCAGTCACTGCCTTATTAGATGAAAAGGTAAGGAATGTTTGGCCAAATTTTGTTAAAAAATAAAATTTAGAATTCAGTTGTATGTTTTTCCAAGTGTCTTGAAAAACAAACCTGGAGACTCAGTAACTGGGAGTGAGCTCAGTGGCACTATTCACTGGACTTGGGAACAAAACCTGGAAGCACTTGGTGATTTAAAAAAATAAAAGAAATTAGATGCTAATTTCTAGATGCTCTCCAGTCAGGATAATTGCCTCTTTTCTCTTGTGTTTTAAAAATTGATTTATGATGTCACTATCAATGTCCTACTCTCTGTTGCTCTGTCCCACAGAAAAAGAGAGCTGACTGGGTGACATGTTGACAAATACGGGCTAACTTATGCCCTGGGGCACACTGTTCCACATTTTCTGATCAAAAAAGGGAATAAAGTCCTCTTTGAGGGATCCATGCTCTGGCAATGCAGGTTGAATGCAACTACCCTCAGTACCCATTGTTAAAAGCCTTTCTCTACATTCATTTGCCCTGCTTTAGACCTCAGAGGGCATACGATAGATAAGAATTGTTTTCTCCAACAAGCACAGAACAGACAAAATACCTCATTCCACCCAGACACAACTAAATCCAGCTACAAGAGTCTTCTGATACTATCCACCCAACTTGCTTCTAAAGCAAGATGTTAGTAAATGATGACAGTAGCACTCCCTCATCTTTTTCTTCTTAAAAAAGTGCTTAATCTCATAATGGCTTTGTGTCTGAATACACTCAGCAAGTTTATTACCTGATTTATGGGAAAGGGATGAAGTGATGAAATAGATGTAGGAAGCTGACTTTGTGTTTCCAAAATTGTGCAGGTGCCCTAAAGGCAAGGGGCAGGAAGGAGGCTGGCATCTCAAGCACCCCACCTGCAGTGGAATATCCCCAAAGGAAAAAACAGGGTCAGGATTTTTTCAGGAACAGGTACCAGCAAACATAAACTGTACCCTGGGAAATGAGGACAATTTAAGACTATGGTGGGGGCACGTATGCCTTAGGCTTTCAGGGTCTATTTTGATTCTTGCTAAAATACTAAGGTACACCAGCATGATGCAAAATATTGGCTCAGGGAATAGGGTCAGTTCTTTCCAATACATCATGAGCTGGTATAAGATTGCTACTTATGCATCACCAAAGAAGAGTACATACATTTGCACCAAATCTGCAAGTTATAGCTAAATAAATATATGCAGAATTAGAAATAATATAGTTTAAATAAAATTAATACATTTCACCAGAGTGAGGAAGACTGATGAAGTGAAATTATGGCTGCTTGTTTTTGTGCTAACTGTGGATGGACAATTTCAAGGCTGTAGGCCTTCCTTAATATGGTTGTCACTAAGGTGCACTTGCACTGGAGTCTGGCCAGCCCATTACACAGATGACCGCTCTCTAAAAATTGGACATGTGGACACCATGCTCAGGCACAAGTGCAAGTCTGCTTCTGATATTCCAGAGATTAGGGTTACTAGCACTTCTTTCTAAAACTAGCCAGCAATGCTGAAGAGAAATATTGCTCCTGTTTGTCATATGAGAAATACTGAAGCTAAGAGAAAATCACTTGGCCCGGCCATATCTGAGATTTTTGTCTTGCTCTGATTAAAGTATGGTGGGGGTGTCAGAAACCATGGCAAGCTACTGAAATTACTCTGCATCCTTCCAGTAGATCTATCAAAGACACCCCTGATTTATGAGAACGCACCAGTTATACAATATCTGAAGAACTGAAGGTACTTTCAGTTTGAAATGTCTCTTACAGGAAGGAAACACTCCAACTTCCTTTCTCTGCCTTCTGTAAACGTAAAGGCAGTATTTCAAAGGCACGACTGGTCCAATCGGAGACAAACATACTGTGTCCTTCAATACAACTCCTTTAAAGATTTTGTTCTGATAGTTTAGGTTAGTGCTTTAAAAGGGATACCATCATCATCCTTCAGTGTTTCAGCATTTATACAATGACAAATCGCTGTGCTTAGAAATGTACAATGGCTGGCTGCTCTCTTTGCCTCTGTGCCCCGCTGGAGGGTGCAACCTTAATGCTGAAAGCACAGAACAAAACCAGGAAGTTGTTCTCAGCTCACTACTGGTTTGCTTTTATTCATACTGTTTGAGCACAGTGGAGATGATTAAATATCTGGGGACATTTAAACATTTTTCTAAAATGTCTTCTGAGCAGCTTACTTCTTGCTATAATTTCTGAACATTTCTCTCCTTCTCTAGCAGGAAACCAAGCAGCTCACGTTTCTTGGTGACATCTGCAAAAGTAAGTGGTTTCAATCTATTTTTCTTTGGCTTGCAGCTAATAAACCACCATGCAGAAAATCCTTCAGTATTTTCTGTGTTCAGCAACAAAAGTACAGCTCAGGGAATATTCTGCAAATTCTTGGCCTAGCTAGCAACCTAATTTAGCTCCTTTCAAGAACTGACAAAACTTATGTTATGGGGGCCATGTGTGCTGTAGTTTTGTGCCAAGCAGAGTTAGCTTTCGCTTTCTAGGTTCTTTCATGGCTTTGCTAGCTAATTAAATAGGTAACCCCTTATTTGTTCTGTCTATCGGATTGAACCCTTTATTCAAGGAGTTCAAAATGGCATTCATAAAGTTTTTCCATTTTATCCCCACAACTGCCTTATGAGGTTGGTTTGAGATGGTAATATTTAACCCAAGTTTACCCTCTAAGCTTTAAAGCTGGGGGGTGGGAATTGTACACATTAACTCTCCTGTCAAAATATACCCACCACCCTTCACTATCTCTCTGTCTTTAAAGATCCACCAAGCTAGACCTTAGAAAAAACAAAGCCATACCTGTCTGCCAGGCTGAGGATAATACTTTGTAAAGTTCTAAAATGTGGATAGGAAGGAAAAACAAAATTGAGAACTGGCTGCAGAAGATTGCTGAAAGGTTGTTAGAGAAACTGATGAAAGAGCTATAGGTGAACAGAGGACAAGTGTAATTTTTGCTTCCTCCCATTATTTATTTATTTTATTTATTAAATTTATAAGTCACCTTATAGGTTTCAGGGAAATATATAATAAAACCAGTATAATAACCCAGTGCCAAAATGAACTATTTTAAAAGCTGTACGGGCAGCAATAATATAAAATTAATTTTAAAAATAAACTAAGTGCCTAACATGTGAAGAGTGGAAATACACAGTTTTAAAATTCAGCATTAAACATCCTTTCAAAAGACCTCAGAGAATAAGAAGGTCCAAACTAGCAAGAAATGCAGGAAGCCCTCACCTGATGCTTCTGTGTTTAATGTCTGGCATCTACAGGGAGCTCCAATTGTTTTCAGAGCAGCAGTAGGTGCTGCAAGGGAGAGTTGTTTTTTTTTTTTTTCCCGAGGCTGCTGGGGTGTTGTCTGCATGTGCTTGTGCTGAGGAGGGAGATCCAGTACTTAGTGCTGCTGTTGCAAGGCCAATATGTGTTGCTGCTGGGGTACAGGTATGTGCTCTTTATGTGCACTTCTGTGGCCCTTGTTGCCCAGTAGACACCTGATGTGGTCCTTTGGATCGAAAAACTTGTGCACGTCTACTGTGAAGCTTTGGATCTCCATGAAGTTTTAAACCTACATGCTTGCCTTCAAGCACTGTCATGGTCTTAACAAGGCAGATCACTGGTTCACAAGGAGAAAGCCTTGGAAATGAAGTAGCTACATTTTACCAGAATTGGGGCACTAATAAAGGAAAATTAAGTCCTGAGTATTAATTGGCTCCAGTTTCCAAGATACAGCTTCAGGTCAAAATTGCATCAAAATAATTCAAAATTACGTGGGGGTGTGCAATTATGCTTCATAACTTTTCTGCAAAATGTGATATAGCAATGAGAATGCTGCCACACCAATCATTATAAATTTATCTTTTTATTGATACCAATAACATAACTTTCCATTCATTTACTGGTTTTTAATTGGGGGAACCTGCAAAAACCATGCAGTCGCTACTATGATTGGTGGGTTCCCTCCACACCATTGGGACTGTGAAAGGCATGGACTTTTTCTTCTTGTTTAGCCAATGACGCAGATGCAACAATAATGAGGGGCCCAACTCTTGTCTTGATCCCCTATTTTGCATATAGGTGGCATGCCTTTTTTACCATTGCTGTCATACTGCACTTTTGAGATGCAAATATAACCTCGCCACAAATGTAGCAGAAGTTATCTGCTTTGTTTACACAGTTTTGAGGCATCTTGGCTTTGGAAGGAAAATATCACACATCTCTTCCTCGGAAATGTTAGGCAATGCCACTTACACAAGCCCCCAGATGTAACTGTATGATGCGTAGATCTGACCAAGACAAATGTACCTTGCAATAAAAGAACAATAAATTACAGTTAGGTAGTAATCTTTAGTCTCAAAGTGAGGCTAAATTTATACACTCCCATGTGGTACCATTTTCATTGTTCTACTGTACTTTTTCGAGAAGTTACGAGGCATCATAATCATCAGAAACCTCCCTCCCTTGTAGACAAATATACTTGCCTGTGCATAAATCTTTATTGTGAAATATCTTGAAAATTTTAGCCACCCAGCATCTTTATAGCCTGTTTTCTAATTCATCTAATCAAAATATGTAAGAATTAGCACATTTTATCTCAGAGGTTGATAATTTTCCAAAGTTTGTCGACCAGTGTAATCTGCACACAAGTATAGCAGCTAGGATGGAGGACTGACAGAATTAGGACAAAGCGACCAAGGATAAGGGCTTCCGTGAGCCACTCTGCCACTTGGTTGGTGCTGTGTGGTGCCCGGAGTGAATGAAGTGTTGTCAAGTGTGCAGCCATGGGACTGTGCCCTGCATCACTCGGTATCTTGAGAGTTAGCACAAGCCAGCACCCACCAGGACTGGTCCTGGACATTCACAGCAGTGGCAGCAGCGTTGCATATATACGAGTATTTCCATCTCCTGTTGAGAGAATGGAACACTGGGCATGTATAAGACCTTGGTGCATGTCTCCATCATAATGCACCTCTAGCTCAGGAGCGAGGAGGCAAGTCTTTTTACACATGGGCTCAATGTCCTTCATATTTTTTTTTTGGGCTTTTTTTTTTGTTACCATCTTTATATTGGGATAAAACAGAACTGGCCATTAGAAAAGCAGCCGCCTTTCAGTACTAAAACGAAAAGGTTAAGAACAAGTTGATTTTTGGGGTACAGCTAGTATCCCTGTTGTAATAAAAGTGTATCTAATGTTTGCTCCTATCCTTGTGCCATATTTATCCTATGTTTCCCAAGACATTTTAGTCTTAATTTAATCCAGATGGTTAATTGCATCATTCCTCTCAATTATTTTCTTACTGTCAACCCTGTTTGTGTGTGTTCCTGTTTGGGTTTGTGGCTATTGTGGTGAAATATATTCTCGCAAGGGTTTTGTTGAGAATTTGTGTCTGTTCTGGTTTGTGAGGTTTGTATGAGAGTCTTTCATCATTCTTACAGCATCTTTTTCCCTCCTTAGTCTGAATCCATGCATAATCAGAAGTTGTTCTGATTCCCATGTTGGTATCAAAAGATAAAGCTCCCCATTGATACATTCACTTCAGGTACTTGGTTACCACCGCTTCTGTATGTTGCTGCCACATAAAGCTGCTCTTTACATTTGCTGTCCATATACATGACCATAATGCTTTGAGGTGAAGTCACACAATGCTCACTCTTTTTTAGGGAAGTACACCAATACAATGGAGCCAGACTTCCTCAATGCCTTTTCAAAGCTTGCTAAAGTGACTCCATTGCCACAAGAGGAGGACTTTGTTCCAGGTATGCAGTTAAGAGTCAGCACCAGAGAGGAACCAACACAATGTTCAAGACTCTTGTTAGTAAAAAAACTTCTCTTGCTCAATGTTGTTTCTAGATGTAATCAGGTCTCTTAAGGAAAGTTTGGACCTACTCCATTTTCAACAGGCACTTTAGAAGTGGTAATATAAATTATAGATTATTTTGAAAGGAGGTTAATGTATTACTCAGTCAAATCAAATTAAGGTGGTTTTATTTTTACTATTTTCTTTTTAAAAATACTTGTAAGAAGAGCTTTCCTTTGTGTTCCCACAAAAAAAGGTTATATTATTTTTTCATTCCCTTGAAATGTCATTTCAGATCTGATCTTCAAGATCTGCTTTCTGCTCTGTTTTCTCCAAGGGAATCCAAAAGTGCAAATAATTTTATTCTATGCACACATCAGCAGTATGTTGAACAAATGGACCTGCATATCAGGACCTGTATTAGTCATGCTGCATAATTGTAACTGGTGTTTGTTTACTTCTGTTTTAGGAGAAAAAAGGAAATTCCTAACTCCAAGTTCTCGAAATGACCCTAAACTGGAAGCTCTGCAAACAGTAATGCATTTTCCTGATTTTAGTTAGCTTATGCTTCTTTTGTACTAACCACATCATACTCAAAGATGAAATTCCAAGTACCTCTGCTGACAGGATACATGGGCAAAATCTTTGTTGGGGACATCAGTACTCCTTCTCGGTTTGAAATCCCTGGTGGCAGTTCATACAGGAGTAATGTACAAGACAGTCCTTCTAATCTAGGGGTTGTCCCCTTCTTATGGACACAAGAGAGGCATTGGTCAGGATCACAGACCACATGATCCCCGACAGGAAGTGAAGGAGCCTGATTAGCTTAATTAATATTATTTGCTTTTAGCTTAACTAACGCCATTTGCTTTTTGTATAACCGCTTGCTTTGGAGAGGAAAAAGGGAAGGCAAAAGAATGTTGATAAAGAGGCAGTGAGTATAGAAAGACCCCCACGCAAGGACTGGCACGCAGTGATCACGCTCCCCCTGTGAAGGTATTGGATGTAGATAAGTGCTGGCACTAGGCCAGGCATGCAGCGGACATGCAGACCCCCACAAGGGGATTGGGTGAAGGTCAGGCAGACCCTGAGAGGGGATTGGGTGAGGGAACAATGGGGGCAAGATTAAGTGGAAAAAGAGAGGAAAAGCAGGAATGTGTGTGTGATGCTGCCTGCCTGCGTGTAGGGAGCAGACACCCGGTGGCTTTGCTCAGCTGAATAAAGAAACTGAATGAATCTCCGCCTGGCTGAACCTCATTGGCACTTGGTTTAGTGGGTCTGTAAGTCACCTGGCTAGCAGGGACACCAACAGAAGCTGCATTTCTAAGGACAATTTCTAGCTGAAGAGGATCCAACAAGGCCTCTCTTTTCAAGTTCTTCCTGCCCCAAAATGTTACATTCCCCTTATTGAATATTTGGGTCTGGGGTTCTGCTTTGAGAGGAGCTGGAAGGGATTGGCAGCACTGATGACATGCTTCACCTGACTTTTTAGTTATGACTTCAAAACCAACTCTATGTGATTAAGCAGGTTTGAAGTTGAACAGTTTTAGTATTGTGTGTGTGTGTAGAAATTTCTGATGGGATTCCTGCTTAGCCTCTTCCCTGACATCTCAACTTCCTATGTTTGTGGAAATGTTTTATATATGGGAATTTTAATTACCATATATGCCAGCATATAAGATAACTCCAATACTGGAAATAGCAAGACAAAATCAGGGGTTATCTTATATGCCAAGTGAAAATTTATCATGTTATATTCATCATTAAAAAGGGGGGATAGACAATAAAGACAATTCTATTTGAAAGCTTGTTTTTATTAATAATCATTTTAAAAAACCTACTTACTGGTGCTGAGGTAGCTCATTCTGCATTGTATCGTGATCCTTGCATGTGGCTGCAGGGCTGGTCCTGAGTTCGGTGCCCACCCCACCTATGCTTCCCACATATGACAAACACCAGAAAAACAGCCCAAAATATTGACCTTGTTTTATATGTGACTTGTCTTATATGCTGGTATATAAAGTATGTGAGCTCCCCGCTCCAGCTCACACATAAATTTACCTTCTTAAGTGAGAAGTAGGCCTTGATCTTTATAAGAGATTGTCATGAAGATTTAGTAATTTGGGGATAGTGGTTTCTTATGATGAAGGCAGGAATTACTTTGTTTGTTACTGTTATATACCTGTGCTGTGCATGAAATCTCTCTAGAACACCTAGATATGCTAAAGTTTGGAAGATGCTGAAATTTTATTGGTAAACTAAAATTATTATTATTCATTTTTATACTAGCCTGTAGCTGAAGCTCTCTGGGCAGTGGACAACAATCCATAAAAACAATGCAGTACAATTCCATAAAATAAAATTATAAATTAAAAAGAGCTAAAACATGCAGCTAAGAATGCTCCTGTAAAAAACACTTGGGATGGGTAATCCCTTCAAGACCCTGGATAGTCATGTAGATCTTTACAAGCCTCAGCAATAGGACAGTCTTAACCTGGTGTTGCATTGACTCTAGATGGCAACGTTTAAAGTTTTATGGCACATAATTTTTGAGTAAACTTGTTTTTGAAACTCTGTATAAATTTTGCCAAAATCCCTCAGTTTGCATGAACTTTTCTTTTTTGCTTTTGCTACTGCAGGGAGTGCCAAAGAGTTAAATAAGGCACTGAAGCACCAGCTATTTGATCTATGGAATAAATTCACAGGACTCCCTCTGGCTTTTGTAAAGGAAAGCTGGGAGAAGAAGCATCCACAGCTTATCAAATTTTCAAGGCATCAGCTGCCACTGAATTTTTAATTGTATTTTCTTCTGCAGAATTTAGTCAAGATTATATTGGAATGTGCTAAGGAAATACCATAAAAATGATGCGAATCTGAGAAACATAGAAACAGAGCGAGTCAGAAGGGGCTCCCGGGCCATCTAGTCTGACCCCCGGCTCCAGCCAGCTCCACTCAAGACGTGCCCACCATGTGCATGTCCAGCCTATCTTTGAACACCCTCACTGATGGGGCCTCAACGACCTCTCGTGGAAGCCCATTCCATACCCTCGTGGTCCTAACTGTTGGGAAGTGCTTCCTGGCATCTAAATGAAACCTAAATGGAGAAGAGAGAACTGAGTTGAATAGAAAAGAGAGAATATACTACAAATGTTAAATGTAGTAAGAGTGAAAAAAGGCATGTGTTTTAAGAGCTACCTGAGGAAACCATTTCCCAGGTTTCCAAACATGGAAGCATATGGCATGCAAGGTTCCATTGCAGTGATATCACTCCAAAGATGCTAGCCTCAGATTAGGTTGGGTTCTTGTTATAGATTGTTGTTATGCATGTGTTCTTTTATATATATTTAAAAGTTAGTTAAATTTAACTAAACAATTTCCCCACAGTTTTTGATCAACTGGATTAACACAACCTTGAAGCATGAGCACATAGTGGTGAAAAGCCTTGAACAAGACCTCTATGATGGGTTAGTACTTCACCATCTCATAGGTAAGCTGTTTTTCTCATAACTGAGAGCCCTAGGTATGCACCCTTGGCCTTTCACATTATTTCAGTAGCTGACCTTTAATTAAATTAAATGCTTATTCATTCATTCATGAAAATCAAGTTCTCATTGCTGGGAGTAAGTTTTATATGTAAATGAAAAGAATATACCATTGCGTCAGAATTTCACAAACAATTTACAGTCATTAAATAAATTTGCTGAGCCAGAAATATGTTCATCCTCTTTTTTGCCTCCTTTTGAAACCCCAGAGAAACTTGGATCGCTCACTCTGGAAGTAGAGAAGTTTGCAATGACAGAACAGAAACAACGACTTAAACTTGCAGTTATTCTGAAAACTGTGAGCCAGTGTTTACAGCTAGAGGAAAGTGAGGTGAAATGGAGCGTGGATGGTATGTACAGATGCAAAACTGCAAGCAGATGTCCCAGAATGATATATACTTTAGTTTTAGAATGTGATGATGTAAAGGAAGAAGCTGCGGTAGATCTGATTAGACCTCAGAGAAGCAAAGTTTTAACACCTGACTTAGCCCTAGTTTAGTGACTGAGTTGGGTACATGTTCACAGGGCAATGCAAAATAACATCACCACTCATACATACATACATACATATATGTATATTTACACACACACTAACATTATGTTGCTGTTAGTTGCAAAGTCGTGTCCAACCCATCACGACCCCATGGACAACGTTCCTCCAGGCCTTCCTGTCCTCCACCATCCCCCAGAGTCCACCTAAGCTCACACCAACTGCTTCAGTGACTGCATCTAGCCACCTCATCCTCTGCCGTCCCCTTCTTTTGCCATCTATTGTTCCCAGCATTAGGCTCTTCTCCAGGGAGTCCTTCCGTCTCATTAGGTGGCCAAAGTATTTGAGTTTCATCTTCAGTATCTGGCCTTCTAAAGAGCAGTCAGGGTTGATCTCTTCTAGGACTGATCGGTTGGATCGCCTTGCTGTCCAAGGGACTCGCAGGAGTTTTCTCCAGCACCACAATTCAAAGGCCTCAATTCTTCGGCGCTCAACCTTCCTCACGATCCAGCTTTCACAGCCATACATTGCAACTGGGAAAACCATAGCCTTGACTATATGAACTTTTGCTGGCAGGGTGATGTCTCTGCTTTTTAGTATGCTGTCTAGATTTGCCATAGCTTTCCTCCCAAGGAGCAAGTGTCTTTTAATTTCTTGGCTGCAGTCCCCGTCTGCAGTGATCTTGGAGCCCAGGAAAATAAAATCTGTCACTACCTCCATTTC